TTCCTTTAGAATTGGGGAAGTTTTATTATTTCATTAGTGTTTGTTTTGTTTGCTCTAATACTTTCTAAAAGACCTAGATATACTTAAATCTCTTTGAGCAGAAATTAAAGAGAAGTTGTTTCTTAGAACAACAAATGTTGAGCTGTCCAACATCTGGTAACACACAAGCTCCTGCTCTAAGAGAAACTTCCTAGTCTATATCTCAATTTGAGATATACTCTCTGTTGAAGAACTCAAGAGAATTATGTGACTGGAACTTTTTACAAGTTAAGGGCATTCCTAGTTTGAATAAGTTAAAGTAATAAGCAAGCAGGAAAGGTCCTTACTAGCACTGGCATGTAAGCAATTTGAGCCGGTATGTGAGGAAGAGGGCAGGCATCAGGAAGTGCCCAGGCATTCATTTCCTGAAGTCCACGTGGGATCCAGTTCAATGTGGAGGCCTTTAAGAGCACTCGCAACTGACATAAAAACAGACAAGTGGGCTAGAACCAAAGTTTTGTACTGATCCTTCAGACTTTTGCAGCTACTCTCCTGATCCACACTTCCATCACACCTGTTTACTCTGCCTGGAAAAGTAATGAAGAGATAGCATTTCCATAGAGCAGGTGAATTTAAAAGGTAAATCATTTTCAATATTCCTAGTAGTCTCCATTACCTCATTTAAAATCTTTTCCTAGCAGATTTTGCCTGTGGTTCACAAGGTATGGCCTATTTACATAAGCTACTTGGCATCTTAACAAACCAGTTAGACAAACTCGCAATCCTTCTATTTTAAGTAATCTTTATTCAAATTTGTAAATTGATGCTCTGATCTCCATTTAACCTTTAGGAATTTTAGGAATAAAAGATCATGCTCAGATTTCAGTAAATCTACAGAGTTAGCATTAGATTAGCTATCTCGAAAGTAACAAATGAGCAGTGATATAAATATTCCCAAAAGTTATGTTAATGTAATATGTTTTCTTATAATATTCAAATTACAACTATGCTTAATGTCCTGGGAATTTCCAATTTTAAACCAAATATTGAAACCATAATTTGAGAACCAGATTTAGGATTTAGAAAACATTTAAACTTCCTCACTCACAGTATTGCTCTTCCAACTTTTCCCATACAGACTGAGGGAAAAAAGGGTGTATATTCCTATATAAGGGATGTTGTAATGCTAATCAAAGGGTACCTATGAATTCTAGTGGTTAGCTAAGGTACAAAATCAAACAAGAAGGCCATGAATATGTGAGTTTGTTCTATGAGTCTACAGAAACCGTAACAGAATTTTGACCAAAGAAATAACTTGGTAACTGGGCATTTTAAAAACAGCATTTGTATATTTTAATACTTTTTGCTTGTTATACCACATGTATAATTAATGAATATAAAAACCTCTTAAGTACAGATGTGGCTATAATGTTATATAAAGAGACATAATCTCTAATCTCAAAGTTGCTTTAAAGAATAAGATGCTGGATAAAACCCAGAAATAAAATACAGCTTTATTAAAAAAAAAATGCAAAAGGGTGGGAAAACCATAGTATTTTAATACTTTTAGTTATACCTTCATCAAAGAGTGTAATCCTGCTTTGACTGCTGCACTTGCAATTAGAAATAACTAAAGAAAACAACAGCAGAAGTGATTAAATAGGTAGAAAAACTAATCCCTGCAGGAAAGATTCCATCTCCTGGAGAAAAGACCTTCACTATAGCGCTAGCTACATTTTAGTTAAACAATGCCAAACACTGTGCTAGCTGTGATGAGGGGAACAAAGGAAGAAAAATACAGATACCTGTGCTTAGAAAAGATTACAATATAGTTAAGGGATACAATATTATTAATGAAATATGTACAGACAATCAATGGCATGTTTTTAAATCAACTGAATATGATCCAAGTTTTATTAATTTCATCCTGTTCTCTTCACCATGTTTAATCAGTGACAGCAGTGATATCATACACTAGTTTAGTTCTTTATAATCTTCAAGACACTTTAAGTGTAAGCGATCCTCACAACTACAGGTAGAAATTATGTCCCCATCATTAAGAACTCCTTTCATATAAGGTCCCTTTCCTTAGCTCATCAATGTCTTTAATAAAGTAGTTCTACAACTCTGTCTGACCACTAGGATCACCAGCAGAGGTTTTAAAAATAAAAATATTGGTCTCACTCCCAGAGATTATACTTTAACTGTATTGTGAAGGCAAGAGGTATTGGTATTTTTATAGCCTCCCTAGACAATTCTAATATGCAGCAGCCAGGGCTGAGGACTATTGCCTTAATCAATCTCTCTCTCTCTCTCTCTCTCTCTCTCTCACCCCTTCCCACTTTTCCTTGCCCTGTTAATTTCCTGGGGTAATACCTCATAGAATGCCTCAAATATTTCATCAAATCTAAGCTACTGTCAACTCTAATAGTCACTATTATTCTATGTGTCACTAAGAAAGACAAAATACTGCCATGAAACATTTACAAGCCAATAATTTTAACACATATCTTGACTGTCTTAACATTTCAGAAATGTTAAATGTCAAAAAACTGTGCAATATAACAGAGTTCTCCATTCCTAATTTATAATCGCTCTACTCTCTATGAGTAAGAAACTGCATTTGCTCCTACGAACCATCATATCCTTTTCTGCTATTCAGACACCCTTCTCTCTTGCACACCATCTCACCACTAAATAAACACGAGGATCTAAAGATAAAAGGGTAATAGAAGGAACAGTGATAGGGGACAATTTGGGAGCAGAGACCCTTTTGGTCAGTGATTTCAAAGTAATATTACTGTCATAAGTTTAAGTCATGTCTTTTATTTTGAGAATACACTGAGAATAATCAGGTAATGGTTATTAATTTATAACACTTCCTGAAAGAGAAGTCAAATGCTGTTTTGCCAAATAGCACTATAAAAATGAGTTCAACACACTAATACAATTTCAATGTTCATCTGATGGTTTATAGAAGTGCCTTTCTCATTTGGTTAAAATAAAATTTTCCAGTGAATAATAATGCATAGGCTACATTTCAAAAAAGAGAAAACTTATTTAAAATACTTAAATGACTCCTGTTTATAGAATTATAAAACAGGTTTCCTTGAAATACTCATCTTCCAAAGTGAATTTAAGATATAAATTAATTGATATGATTTGTAGATTGTTTTCAAGATTACCTCTGTAAGAAAAAGCAAAGAAATAGGGAGTTTTGCCTGAACTTCTCATTTAGTCTGTCATTTTTATTTGTGCTCCCTTTGATATACTCCTTTATTTTTTTTCTATACTTCTCAAACGAGGCTAAAAATCTACTGATGCAGCTAAGTTTCCTGGGCTTTTTGAAGACCCAGTTCAACACTGTGGAACTTTTAAAACTGTATGCATCTGACTGGAATTACCCATCCACATCACTTTCCTGCCAACATTCATATCCAGTGAGTCCTAGGAGGATACAGGCACTCTGCACAGTTGGTTAGACACTGTGGTCTATCAGGAACATAAGGTAGGTAAGGTACTGTAGTATGCACTTGTGTTAGTACAATCTCAGTACCAGACAACATCTAATGTGGACAAATTTTATTATTTCCAAACAAAACAGAAGTTTGAATATTCAAATAGATTTGGATTAAAATGGATAAATTCTTAAAACTGGGACAACTGTAATAGCATAAACAATAAAATATAATTTAAATTTAAAAAGTAATAAAAAATGGGTAAATTTCTTGATTCTTAAAATGTTAATACGTTGCACTGTCCAATTCACCTTTATTTTTTAACACACAGAGAGATGCTAAAGTAAAATAGTCATAGCTGAATGTCAAAATGAATGTTTCTCACATTCAGTCATAATGACATCACTTCCTATCAGGAGATGACAGATAAAATGGGAATGCCTCCCACTGGCCTTGAATCAGGTCTGCCAAATGCAGATGGTAGAAGATTGGTATCACTATATATTGAAAAGTTTAGCTAGAATTTGGTTAGGAATTGGGCCTGACCAATGGATACTCATACCAAGAACCTGACAATGGCACTGTTTACATCTTCAAAGTTTGCTAAAGGGCCCGGTATATATGTGGTTTACAGATGTCTAAGATAGAGGTAATCTAACGCTAATAAAGGGCAATGGTACTGAGTAGAAAACAGGGTCTTTACCATTAAAAAAAAAACCTCCTACCTGCAAAGCGGATAAAATTCTCAATTCTAGAGGATCTAAGTGAATTAATCATTGACATGTGGGTTTAGCCCATCTGCTGCAACTACTGAATTCGTTATTTCCAGTTTGTACCTCCATTAAAGCAGAGGAATGTAGTCACATAAACCAAGGATGTTTGCTTTGGCTTTGGTACTGAAACACCATTTTTATAGTTAGGGCTATGCAGACCTGATTAACACTACCTAGGGATCATCTTTCCCTACCCCATAATCCTGCAAGCAGGTAAATATAAATTCAGAATCAACTGAGAAAAAGACAAGAGGCTTTCTCCTAAGAGGCATGAGGATCATAACAGGCAACAATGATCAACAACCCCCTGCAATTTCTGTAAATTGCAATCACTTTATTTTAATGGGGACAATATTAATGGGGATAATAGGGAGTGTTGAGGGTAAGATGGGACCTACTGGGTGCCATTTTCTGCAAGCTGGGGGCAACAGGACATAAAAGAAAAGTCCTATGGTTTCTTATCAGATTCTAGTCATGCACTCAGACTAGGCTTGTTACGCTATTGCAGCCAGGCCACAGGTGGCAAACAAGTCACACATGTCAGGTTTACAGAAGCCAAGAACAGCAGAGTGAAGTGTAGAGTGAAAAAAAGTGATCATGGGGTAGAGGTATATGATGTGGTGGTTCAGTTTGTGAAAGCAAGCAAAAGAAATAAAGAACAAGCATCAGTAGTTTAAAAGAAAAAAAAAAAAGGCAGCAGAAACCACAAGTGAGAGAGTTAGCAAATGCAAGGCAGCCCTGGGGTGAGTGGTGGACGAAGAGGTCAGCAGTCCAAATTCGGCTGCCTCACCTTCCCATCCCATGGAAGCCCATCCTGTAGCAGCACTAGCTTCACTTCTCCTTGAAGGGCATCTACAAGTGGGCAAGCAGACTGTAAGAAAGCAGACCTAGTATCATCTACTATTCAACTACGTCACTTTAAATATACAAACAAAATGCTAGCACAGTCTTTACTACTATACCACAGTTATGTTCTATTGATCCTGATGTACCATAAAGTTCATTAAAAGAGGACTCTAACTATAAATGAAATTGTTATGCTTTTGTTGATTTTGTTATTATATGGTGCTACTCATGTTCACTGAGGATTAACATAAGAATTCCACAAATACATTTCCAAAGTTGTACCAACCCCCCCCATCTATTCATTAGTTCTTAAAAAGTCATATGCATAAGAAAGTCAATGCACACACACGAAACTGTTAAAATTTAACAGCAAACTTTTCTTAAGTGATGCAGGACTGAGAGGAAGCTTTAGTTCAAGTGACAGCCATTAACAAGCTGTAAAGTTCTAGATAAAACACTAAAAATTCTCTGGAATGTAGTTTTATCTTCAGTAAAGTAAAGAGGTTGAATTTCGCGGTCTTCAAGCAAAACTGAGCCCTAAAACATGTCATGCCTTAGATTTCTCGTTTGATTTTAATGCACTTTTGAAAATCTCAATGACACATACATGTTAAATTCAAAATCTGTTATAATTAATATAATTTTTTATCTGAAAAAAATTTAACAGTTTAAAGAAAATGTAAGATAAGGATTTTTAGAGGAATCTGCTCTAATATTTCCAGCATCATACAGCTGAAGAATTTAAAAATATCTTTAATGTAAAAGAACTATAAATCAATTTAATATAAAACCTAGTCTAATTCTGAAAACAACGTAGTTCTCCGGAATAATTTAGCAGTGAGACCAAATAACAGTGCACTGGGGACAGTGCTCACATTTTTTTTACCATGGGCCCTTAAATTCTAGAACTGAAAGCTAAGACCACTAAAATGCTTTGGAAAGTAAGCAAGTTACAGGGGAGGCAGGAAGAAAAGGGGGTGGCAGGGGAACATTACACACTCACATGTCATTTCAGCTCCAAAGTTTTTTTTGTTTTGTTTTTTTTTTAAAAGCTTAGGTTTTGGTCCTTTCATCCTTTGTGAACACTGAAAACAACAAAGACCAACTAACTTTCCCATGACGCTATTTTAGTGTAGGTATTTTGAACCTGTCTTTTATCTTCCCAAACACACATGTGCATGCACACACACACACAGTTATATTTTCTACATCACTCCAAGTCTTTTGTTTAGTACTGAAGCAGGTTGAGGGTGAAACAAGCTTTACATTTTCCAAAGGAAATCTTAACCAAAAAAATGTAAATGATTACTGCAAAGGCTGTATATTTCATTTTTTTCCTTTTGGGGGTAGGGGGGAAAAGAACCTTTTATCACAGGATATTAAGAAAATTTCTTCTCACTTGCTAAAAGTCCCAAAAATCAGAATCTCACAAACATCCAATTAAATTCAAGTGCAATGTCAGGTTTAAATACTCTTATTTGGGTTTCTAAAATGACTACACCATTGTGAAATGTGTGACATTTTATAGGAGAAAAAACCCTATACACCTAAAACCTTTCTTACTTTAGGTTTCCTCTTTATAATTTTAAAAATGATACTAATTCAATAAACTCGCTGAAAGATGACAGTATTATTTAATATTATGTTTACCTTATTAAGTAATACCTTAGTATACATTTAGAACTAGATGCAAATGCACACTTAGCTGGGGAATTAAACAGTTGTAATTGCTTAACTGCCAAGAGGAAATTCAGTTTATTCTGAATAACTTTTATTATTTCAAAAAATATACATGAAAATCCTTTCACAACAAATTCCTTCCCTCATACAGTTAAATGCAAATCATCTTTTTTCCCCTTTGTCTTACTCCAGAAAGCTCCTGCTTACATAGTGGATACGCCACCTACTGCAAAACTGAGCTGACAGAGCAAGCAACACTGCCAGCATTTCCATTCCATCACCAGACTAGAGCTGAATAAAGGCGTGTTTGTGTGGCAGTTTCTTTTGTAAAAATCAAAGCCAAAAAGAACAAGCTCAAACAGCATTTTAAAAAATGGAGTGTAAACTAAACAGAAGAGAAAAAGATAAGGAATATGAAGGGAAAGACAACAACCTGGAAGATGCTGACCAAGGAAAGAACTGCAAATCTTCACTGATGACGCTCAACGTTGGTGGATATTTATACATTACTCAAAAACAAACACTGACCAAGTACCCAGACACTTTCCTTGAAGGTATAGTAAATGGAAAAATCCTCTGCCCGTTTGATGCTGATGGTCATTATTTCATAGACAGGGATGGGCTCCTCTTCAGGCATGTTCTAAACTTCCTACGAAATGGAGAACTACTACTGCCCGAAGGGTTTCGAGAAAATCAACTTCTCGCACAAGAAGCAGAATTCTTTCAGCTCAAGGGACTGGCGGAGGAAGTGAAATCCAGGTGGGAGAAAGAACAGCTAACACCCAGAGAGACTACTTTCTTGGAAATAACAGATAACCATGATCGCTCACAAGGACTGAGAATCTTCTGTAATGCTCCTGATTTCATATCAAAAATAAAATCTCGTATTGTTCTGGTGTCCAAAAGCAGACTGGATGGATTTCCAGAGGAGTTTTCAATATCGTCAAATATCATTCAATTTAAATACTTCATAAAGTCTGAAAATGGCACTCGACTTGTACTAAAAGAAGACAACACCTTTGTCTGTACCTTGGAGACTCTTAAGTTTGAGGCTATAATGATGGCTTTAAAGTGTGGTTTTAGACTGCTGACCAGCCTGGATTGTTCCAAAGGGTCGATTGTTCACAGTGATGCACTTCATTTTATCAAGTAATTACTGGTGTCACAGACAAAGGCAACAAGCATGCAGCCAGCAAGCTTCGGAAAACCACAGCATCAAAGGCATCCCAAATAATGTGCCCAGCTAGCTCTATACTCAGAGCCCTGCTGCTAATCAATTACTGTGAGCTAACGGTATGTAAATTCTATTGCTAAAGATGTCCTTCTTCAGGGTTTCCTGCTGATCAGACTCTTATACTTAAAGTGAAAACAGTGATCTTCTATATATTGTAAATAAAGACTGAATGCTTTTGTTATTTCTTTACTTTTCCTTAAGCTGTGTTTCAATAAGAATGGCATGGGTACTTTCATAATAAACAAGCATGTGCATTACTGTCCATTTAAGTAAATGGTAATAAAATATTTGAAGGAGTTACAAGATTTAAAACCCTTTTTACTTATGGCAAAAGTCTACAAAGAAATTGAACTGGTAAAATTAACCATTGAGAGCAAAATAGATGTGCAAATCTACTGAAACAGAGCATAATGAAACCAAATAGAGTGTAAGAAGGTATTAAAGCTACTGATATAATTTTTAATGGTAGGCACCAAAAGCTTATTTATAGTTTCTGTATTGCATACTACAATTATAACTGAATTGATATATTGTTGAAAATTTCTAGAAAACTGCTTGATAAAAATAAAAGCATTACTAGCTTCTTTGCTTGTATTAGTAATTATAAGTTACACATCACTTTTAGAACAAATATTACCACTTGATGATTTCACACAGTATTATACATTGATATATAGTCAACTGGCAGCCTGCAGTAACCCTGGCTGGTCTTGGAAGTGACAAAAATCAGCAGATTTATTTCTTTGCAGGCTGAGCTCCAATACAGCATGGGTAACTTAGTCTCAACATAGTATGGTATTACAGAATACTGGAGTTCCTTTTCAGTATCACCCTAAATAGCCATTCATTTTTCAAGCTCAAAAACAGTAAACAAGCATCACTAAACATTATTCTTAATCACTGAGTTGTGTTTAATTTCTTCATGCTAAGCGAGAAGTTATTTTTTTAATAATTTTTATATACGGCTGTCTCAATAAAATAATCTAGAAACTTAGCTTTAAATGTGAGTACACTTTTTCCTCCCAAATATCAGCTAATCATTTCAATGCCACTTACTTTGGATTCTAAGAACTAATTACATATTTAATTTGTTCCTTTAAAATTTAACCATTAAAACTTGTAACTAAATCTTAACTTTAATAAATTTCAACAAAAGATTTCTGAAAATCTTTACTGAGGTTACATAAATTGGCATTTATGCCAAAAGCTGGCTTATGCATATAAATTTAGATTAAATCAGCAAAGCTAATATTCTCAGGTCTATAACTGACTTCCAGTTACAACATCTAAGGTTACACAAAAGCTGGCTGAACACACTGAAAGAAATATTTTAAAGTCTATTATACAAAGAAGTCCTTTAAAAATCCCCATTAAAAAAAAAAACCCAACAACTCCACATGAACCACACTATCTTCTTTGTATACAAGGAAAAAAAATGCTTCTACTAAAACATCAAATTTTCTCTTATATACTTCAAAATGGCTTAATTGGGATTTAAAGTATGAAAACAGAAAAAAATAGTGAAATCTATTTTAGCAGTTTAATAATTGAACTGTTTATATACCTACCCAGCATATGAGCTGATTTTCCTTGGCATTTGGACTTCGGTAATAAAAAACACTCTGTAGTGATTTAATGTTAAAGTAAGACTTTCTCTAACAGGATTTCATTACAGATAATAAAAACATCTTTATACAGGAGATATTTGAACAAAACTCCTTAGAAATATTATAAATAAGGTTTTATATCAACTCACAGAAAAGAGAATTTAACTGTTATAACAAATTATTATTGATAGAACCCAGTACTTAAAGAAACCTGTCATTCATTTTTGTGTCTGTCTCTAAAAATTTTATCTGGATGAATTTAAGTCCTCCTCAAGCTTTTGATAAATCATGATATCCTAAAACAAATAATCTAGAAGCAAATTTGACTAGATTGATTACCCTTGTGTAACTTTTCATATATGTATTTAAAATTCAAAATTACTTGCACTTGGATTTACAGAATATTGTTTCAAGTGTACAGAAAATACCTATTTTTAAATTTTACTGCTTTCTATAAATACTTGGAAATACTTTCCATTCAAAAAACTCAAGAAATCAGCCCTCGCTGGTGTGCCTCAGTGGACAGAGTGCCAGCCTGTGAACCAAAGGGTTGCTGGTTCGATTCCCGGGGTAGGGCACATGCCTGGGTTGCAGGCCAAGTCCCCAGCAGGGGGTGCACAAAATGCATCCACACATTGATGTTTCTCTCTCCTCTTTCTCCCTCCCTTTCCCTCTCTAAAAATAAATAAATAAAATCTTAAAAAAAAAACATCAAACTCTAAAGAAAGCATACAAAATGCTAATTTTAGGTCAGAGTGAAGCTGCCATATTTTTGTTTGCAGTCATTTTAGAATTTCTTCCTCCAATCTTTTCTCCAAAGAATAAATCACAAAGTAACTCTTTACCTTCTTTTTCAGAAGGTAGTAAGAAGTAGGTTACTACACCTCCCATGAGTCAAATATATATACTCTTGTATTCAAAAATTACCCCACAGTAACTGAAGCACTGTCCTTAAAACATGTAAAATAGCACACAGCTACGGTGCTATTAGTAGTAGTATTTTCTTCCGCAGAGCTCCAGCGGAAGAAGGACGGTAAATAAAGAGGTCTCTATACCATGGCTCCTACGAAGCGGACTGCTCGCAAATTGGTGGTAAAACGCTGAGGAAGCAATTGGCTGCCAAAGCTGCTGGCAAGAGAGCTCCCTCTACTGGAGGGTGAAGAAATCTTATCATTACAGGCCCGGTAACTTGGCACTTGCTGAAATTAGGTGCTATCAGAAGTACACTGAACTTTTGATTCACAATCGTCCCTTCCAGCATTTGGTGTGACCAGGAGTTCAAACAGACCTACGCTTCCAGAGCGCAGCTACTGGTGCTTTACAGGAGGCAAGGGAAGTCTGTCTGGTTGGCATTTTTGAACTCACCAACTTGTATGCTATTCCCATGCCAAATATTTAACAATTACGCAAAAAGGCATCCAGCTAGCATGCTGGATATGTGGAGAACGAGCTTAAGAATCCACTATGATGGGAAAGATTTTATTCTTAAAAAAAAAAAAAAATTCTCCTCTTCCTTTTATTGGTAGTTTTGAATGTTACATATTTTTTTCCCCATGGGGTCAAAAAGAACCCAGGTATAGAGCTGCAAGTGGAAAATAAGGAGCAAAAATCAGGTATTGGTGGTATTTCCATTTTCATTTGTGTATGAAGTTTTAAAATATAAATGTGGTGACATAAAGCATTAACGCACGTCGACATATTTCACTGAACAAGTTTCAGCAGTTGAATTTTATAACAATATAAATAAACCTGTTAAATTTTCTGGACAACGCTAGCATCTGGATTTTTTTTTTTAAGTAAATTTCTTATTGATGGCAACTAAACGGTGTTTGTGAGTTGTCCTAATGCAAGTACATGTTTTTAATGTTGTCTGTCTTCTGTGCTTTTCCTTTAAGTTTGCTATTAAAGTATATTAAACTATTAAAGAACACACTAATCACTTCAGCTGCTTCATCAGCAATTTAAAATCAGTAAAGAGTAATATATGTGTTAACACAATCTTAAAGATACCCCTATCTAATAAATTTCAGTGATTAAGTGCCTTAAATGGCAATGTCAGTCAAGATTAAAATGAGAGTATCTGAATTATAATTATCTTTGATAAAGAAAGATGTAGTATGATCCAAAACTGCACAGAACTTAGAAATTACTAGTATTTATCTTTGAAATTTATAATGGCTACTTCTATAGCAGATTTATCTTTCTAATCATATTTTGCTTAAGCTAACATTAAGATTAATTGGTGATAAAGAAAAGTGTACTGGACAGAGAGAAATATTTAAGATGAAATTTAAAATTTGCCTAAAATAATTTATAAAGAGGTGACTGTATTCCTACTTCTCTTGACAAGAATACACAACAGTTCAAGATTTTCTATTAAGTGAAAATCACTGACATAAATATTATAAACTGTTACAAGTTACCGACATTTAATTTTCCAACATTGCAAAAATGTACATTAAGCCTTTTCTATATAAAATGCAGAAACTCTGGTTTTATTTAAGTCATTGCTTATTTGAGAAAAAATACTGAATTGGATGCTAAAGAGTGAGACAATAATACATTTCTTTATTATGTATCTTAAAGAAACTGTTCCCTAGCATGAAATACAAATTCATCAAATGGTACATACATAAACTGTTATATAAAAGTTAACCTAATAACACAAGTTTTTCCAAACCCAGATTCCAGGGTATTCAGTGATATTTAAAAGCAAGTTTTAGTAAACACACACACACACACACACACACACACACACACACACACACACATATTTTTCAAGATCTAGTTCATGTTTGAAAATTGCTTTTTGAAGACAAGCCCAGTTTTTCAAAAGTAATTTTGATTACTGTCCTATAGGATGTTTGCATAAATGTTTGTACATCATTAAAACAAAAGTTGGCAAGTGTACTGATTTCTTCTTAATTCCATCCTCACTGATTTTGCCTCCCTGATTGCTATAACAAATGTTTAACAACTAATTTTTGAGGTTAAAGAATTGTTGAATGATATCAACTTTAACTTTAACAGTTGCCTGAATTTGATAACCTTGTATGATTTAATAAAGTTTTATAAAGAACTACAGCATTTAGCATTTAATTTAGCTATTATACCATTTGATGAATTTTCATTCATATTTACTTTTAAAAGCACTTAAAATAAGTATGAATGCAGATATTCATAATCTTACACACTAACAAAATGATTTTTTTATTTTTGCATATTTTCCCTACCCATGTATAGATATTTTAAAAGAAACAACTACAGAAAGAAAAAGGAAAGACCATATATAGCTGTATGCATAAACTATTA